AGCAGGAGGAGTGGGCTCAGCGGAGCGGGGGTTGGATATTAGGGGGAAGTTTCTGACTAGGAAGGTGGGGGAGCATTGGGACAGGCTGCCTGGAGAGGCAGCTGCTGAGGAGAGGCAGAGGGAACTGGGCTGATTGAGTGTGCAGAGGAGGAAGGGGAGTTGAAAGGCAGGCTGAGGGGGGGGTTGCAGAGGGGATGGAGCTGGGTTGTGGGGGCAGGTGATAGAGGGAGCGATGGGCTCATGTTGCAGCAAGGAAAGTTGAGGTTGGATGTTAGGAAAAAACTTTCTCACTAGGAGGGTGGTGAAGCAGGGCACCCCGAGAGGTGGTGGAGTCTCTGTCCTTGGAGGTTTTTAAGACCCAGCCTTGGCTGGGATGATGTAGTTGGGGTTGGACTAGACGTGACCTCCCGAGGTCCCCTCCGGCCCTCCTGTGATTCGGAGTGGGGAGGGCAAGGGCAAGGGCAAGGGAAGGAGAAGCGGAGAGAGCGGGTGCAGCAGGGCAGTGGCAGGAGGAGGAAAGGGGAGCGGTGATTCTCAGCCGGGGCACCCAGAGATCCTTTCAGGGGTGATGCCGCATCAGCATAGCCCAGCGTGATTCATAAGAGAAACCTGGGGAGATTTCCAACAGAAATCCCCAGTTGTGGCTTGCCACAGGGCTGCACCTCTGGGATCTTTCCCATTTTCTGCAAGTGGGAAAGAAGGGCTGGTGTTTGCTGAGGGGGCTGCGAGTCCATCCAGGGGGGCCTCGAGTCCACAGAAAGTTGAGGACCACTGAAGTAGAGAGAAAGTCACAGGAGTGGGATGGAGGAGGCCACGAGCAAGGCAGAATCACAGAGAAGTGGGGCTGGCAGGGACTAGTCACGTCTAATCCAGCTCCTTGCCTGAGGAAGAATCCGCCTGGTCCAAACCATCCCGTGCAATCCAGGCTCTAAACAAAACGGCCGTCAATCCTGACACAACACAAACCCAACACCCAAGCCTGCCACTGGGAAAGTGCTTCTGTAAAGTGTTGTCAGTATATCCTCAAATCCATATGATGATGATGTGCTCCAGGGTGGGGAAGCCAGAGGGACAAGTCACTACGCACAGGACCACAGCCCCAAAGCCAGCTGTCAAGTGTGGAGAGTCATGGCCCCATCCCTGCCCCAAACTTGCAAGATCAACTGAAAAAATCATTTAGGTTCTTAAAGTGCAATAGGTGTGCCTTCTCCTCTTTGCCTCCTGCTTTATGAACTCCAGGAGTTGCATCTGCCAACTTTTCCATGCTGTCATAAGGCAGGAAACATACTTTTTCGGTCCGTGAGAGCTGAGAGTCTTTTCATCACACAACTCCAGAACCGGGGCAGGGGCAGGTTAAGAAAAAACACCAAATATAACAAGTACAATAAAATCCCAAGGGCCAGCACCATTAGATGCCTCAGTCCTCAAAGATTCCAGTAAAGATCCCAAAGCACAAATGTACTCTCTTGAGAGAGCAATCTAGTGCTCGGTGGCTGCAACGAGAAGGGGTTATTTTCATATTTTATTTTTTAAAATGTTTTAATTTTCCGTATTCCAACCCAAATTTGCCAAATCAAATTCCAAATTTGTGAGTTAGTCCAGAATCATTAAATGGCCCTGCTACCAGCAAACATCCTCCACCTCACTCTGGGACTTTAGATGTTTCCAAATCCTTTGGGGTGCTTCCTACTTGCAGGCCCAAGCCTGGAGGCTTGGGGTTCAGATGCCCCCAATTTTTTCTTGCCTTCAGCCAGATGGCTGTAGGATAAAGCTAAGGAGGAGTCTCCCCTTTCCATAAAGTGGGCATAAAGACAAGACCTTGATTTATATTAGTTTCATATTGAGCCATTGGTTTTTGCTGTGAACTGGGAGAGGACCGGATGTGAGCGTGAGAGGCACAAGTAGCTTGAAGGAGAGGGGAGCTCTGAAGAAAACCCACAGTGCCACCAGCACAGAACACAAGGCGTTCAAATGCCAAAAGGCAGGCTTTCCCCCCATCCCCACAAAAACCCCGCACCTAAGGAAGATAGGCAAGCAGCCAGGCATCCTCAGAGTTCAAAGCAAGCAAGCAGGGGGGTCTCTGAACACGATAAGCTCTTGCATTGATGGTTTGGAGGAAGCAAGATGATTTACAGTACTGTTACAAAGAGAATCGATTGTTCCCCAGGTCCGCAAGGAGCAAGGAGGGGTGGATATTGGATGCAAGCACAGGACTGGATCTGCTGAAAAAGTGGTAGACTCTCCATCCTTGGAAGCTTTCAAAAGCAGGTCAGGTAAACCCTGGGCTGGTTTAGACAGGGCTGACCCTGGACTAGATGGGACGTCCCGAGGACCCTGCCAGTCCGACTGCTCCAGAAAGGGGACGGGCCACTGAGCTGGCACCCCGGACACCTGGGTTTTATGCAAGATCTAGCGGATTGAGGTACTTAAGCTGTGTGTATAAACAAGCAGAGCACCTGCCAATACACTGTGGTGCTCTGAGCGGGCTGCTCTGGGAACCCGACACTGCATAGCTATGGCCATGCAGGGCGGTGGGAGAAATGGGAGAGTAGCCAGATTATCTAGGTGGAAAATCAACAGGCCGGCTTTTGTGGTAGCATTCTTGCCCACCCTGTGGGAGATCTGGGTTTGATCCCTGAATGGGTATATATGCCTTATCTCAGGTGGGGGTTGGATGAGATGCAATCCGGAGGTCCCTTCCAACTCTGTGGCTATGACTTGGACACGTCACTGCCTTTGGAGATCTGAGCCAGTGGGTTTGCTCCTAGTCAAGAGTCAGGGATGGAACCCAGAAGTCCCGACAGCCACCCCTTGACCTCGTCTCCTTGCTCCAAGAGTCCTTGGATTGAAATAAGCCTAACGAAGTGCAGACGACTTTTCATCTGACAATGGATACAATGACAGAAGAAGGGGGAGAAAGTCTGGAGGCTGGTGAATATTAGACTAAATTCCCTTCTAAACAGCGCGTTGCGTGATCAATAGACGGGCATTTTCAAAAGCGCCCAAGTGATTTAGGAGCCCAAATCTCATTTTCACAAGTGGGAGGCATAGCGACAGAATTCCCATGCTACTCAGACCCTTCCGGCCTTGCTTCTCAAAGGCATTAAGGCCTCTATTTGAGCTCAGTGGGAGCAAAGCAAGGCCTGGGTCTAAGCGAGCTTTGAAAATGGGCCTCCATCAGTGAAGTGCTTCTGAGATGCCTGGTGTCTCCGTCCTTGTTTGTACTCCGCTGGCTGGAAGCCTTTTGATTCTCCGCAGGGGGAAGGGGAAAGCGAGATGCACGCAAACCACCCTAAGGCATGTGACATGGCTGTGGACATGCAAACTCACTGGGCAAACGTCCATAAGGCCTCGCATCTGTGTCACTGGAGGGACTGTTGATTTTTTCTGGTGCCAGTCTCCAAACAGGGGCAAGTGAAAAAGATGTAAGAACAGGCGTAGCTTGGCTAATCTGCTCTAAATCTCTCAGCTCTGGCCACGCTCCCGCAGGGGAGATGCTCAGTTTCTTAGTTAATTCCAGAATAGAAACAACTTCACTTTTACAAGGCATCCACAATTCCCCAGTGTAGACAAGGTTTGAGCCAACTACAACCTGCATCACAGACCAGCCCTTTCTCCCTCTCCCTGTGGCTAAACAGAGCCTGTATCTAGGCCAGTCTGAGGTGCATCAGAGCTAAGTGCACTCTGCTTTTCCTTTTAACCCCTTCAGTCCACTGTGGCATCAAAGCCATGTCCACGTCTCCCCTTCTAAATAGAGGAAGGAGAGAGGCAGCACCTTGGTCTGCCTCATACCCTCTCTTTCAGACCCCACGGCACTACTTAGACAGGGAAAAAGGGCACTCTGCAAGGTGAAGTCAGAGCCCAGATGTGGATAGACCTGGAGGAGTTTAACACCGGGAGGCTCAGGTTTGTCTGGGCCAGTGAATGTGTCCACTGGGCTATAACACACTCGCTGTCACTGTTTAATAGCAGGGCCCTTTTCCCAGGAGAAGAGGGGAGAACTGCTCAAGGAAAGCAGCCAGCTGACGTGGGAGATGGACCATGACGACACCAAGACTTTAACTCTTCTCCCTCAGTGATGATGACCCTCATGCCAAGAGCCCTGAGGTCATGGCCTCTCTGTATAATCCAGACTGGGGTGATGCTATCACGGATTAATGGAGGCCTGTGTTACATACTTTATTTTCCAGCTGTTTAAGTTGGTCTAATAAAAGATATCAGATTCACCCAAAGAACCTTGTCTGCCTGTGTCCTTAGACCAACACAGCTACAACCTACACCCCTGTGCTACATACTGGCATTGTATGGGTATGTGTATAGTTATTCTTGGACAGGTCCCAGTCTGGATACATTTATAGCATCCCATGCACCAGTACAGGCTGGGGCTGACTGTCTGGGCAGCAGCTCTGCAGAAAAGGACCTGGAGGTGACAGTGGACAAGAAGCTGAATAGGAGCCAATAGTGTGCCCTTGTTGTGAAGAAGGTTAATGGCATCCTAGGCTGCATTAGTAGGAGTGTTGCTGGCAGATCAAGCGAAGTGAGTATTCTCCTCTGTTTGTCATTGGTGAGGATGCATCTCAAGTCCTGTGTTCAGTTTTGGGCCCCCACTACAGAAAGGATGTGAACAAATTAGACAGAGTCCAGTGAAGAACAACAAAAATGTTTCTGGGGCTGGGGCATCATGACCTGTAAGGAGAGGCTGAGGGAACTGGGCTTATTTAATCTGGAGAAAGGAAGACCAAGGGGGGGATTTTAATAGCAGCCTTCAACTACTTGAAGGATGGGTCCAAAAAGGACGGAGCTGGACGGTTCTCAGTGGTGGCAGGTGGCAGAACAAGGAGCAATGGGCTCCAGTTGCAGCAAGGGAAGTTGAGGTTGGACATAAGGAAAAACTCACTAGGAGGGTAGTAAAGCACTGGAACAGGCTCCCCAAAGAGGTGGTGGCATCTCCATCCTTGGAGGTTTTTAGGACCCGGGTAGGCAAAGCCTCGGCTGGGATGATGTAGTTGGGGGTTAGACTAGATGTGACCCCCTAAAGTCCCTTCCAACCTTCATGTCCTATGATTCAGTGATTTCATACCAGCATAAAAGGGCTTTGTAGCCAGACAGCTCCTATGCTGGAAGAAGATACTCCTGTATGGATTCTCATGCCAGCCAGATTACCGGTTACAGTGACAACGCTTCCTAGAGTAGAAAAGCTAGCGGTACCTTCCTCTGAAGTGGATTCACTCCTCACTTTGAAGGCTGGATCTGGATGGGCCAATGCCTTTGCACCGAGAAGTTTCCTTGATGTCCCAGGTGGAAACCACAGACCCATCAGTCTTTTGGCAAGGCTGATGGATCGCACTGGCAAGTAAACGTACCCCTCAAGGCCTCAAATAGCAGGATTTTGTCACCCTGGGAAAAGTCAGTTTGATTTTTCCTGGGAGAACGAGGGAAAAGGACCCAGGTGGAATAAACAGAAGGAAGCAGGGGGAACTTCAGCTTTGTGTCCCAAAGAACTGAGGGCTGCTGCCTTCAGTGCTGGGATGCTCCTAAATGCTAACACCTGTGGATCTCTGAGTCATTTTGCTGTTTCTCCCAGCTGAAGATCTGCTTTTGCCACAACAAAGGCGGTGCCTCCATCCCGAGCAGGGCTGTCTTCCTGGGGAGGCCACCATGCACCTCGTTACTGCTGACGGACCTGACCTGTCCCACTTCAAGCTGCGAGAAGGAGCAACCCAGGGTGAGAGGGAGCCAGAGACAATGGAAGCTAGTGCCCAAGGTACTGGGCAAACCTGAGCAGGCACGGGCTGGAGGGAATGATAGCAGGTGCGAGGAGGAACCAGTTGGGGCATGTAAAGGGCATTTGGGAGCTGGCCCACCCTGCACCAGTGATTTAGGGCCTGGTCCCTCAGCCCCTGGCTATCACCATAGCCCTGGAGGGAGCCCAGGTGCCTAGTCCAGCACTGGGGTAAGAGTAAGACTCATGGAAGCAGAGTAGAAAAGGAATCAGGATAACCCAGCCCCCTGCCCCAGGCAGGATCAGCCCTGTCTGAACCACCCCGGTCGACTTCAACCCCCGTGGCATGGACCTCGGATGTTCCCATGGAGAAGCAGGCATGCAGCCCCTTTTTTTCTCACAGCCTGGTTAGGGGGCTTCATGGCCTGCAAGCCATCTGGGGGGTGCCAAGTGCAGGGGTGGGTCTTGAACTGGGCACCTCTGTGCAGCACCAGGCCCCCTTCATTCATAATGGAGGTTGGCATAGTGACAGCGCGACCCTCGGCCAGTCCCAGAAGCTTTACAGGCTGGTCCATATGGCCTAAGCCCTGCCTGGGCTGGGCGAGGAAAGGGAATCATTTTGGGGGGCACTAAGGCAGGCTGAGGCAAGACTGCTGGTCCTATCCAGCCCCCACTCAGCGGGTCCTCAGGGGCTGGCACCAGGCAGTGCCCTGCTCAGCCAGCCTGTTTTTGGCCTCCTGAGAAGCCCCTCACCCCGGATGTCATGGATGTACCTGGCTCAGGGGTCCGGATGCCACTGGGGAGACCCAACCTGTGGATATGGCCACGCTCACCAGTGCAGGGCTTTGTACAACACCTTGCACTCACGGACCACAGGGTTCCTCTCCTCTCCCAGACTCCTGCAGTTGGCGCTCCCCGTCCTACCCTGTGCAGTGGGTATGGCTGCGGCCAATGCCAGCCCCCATCCCAGAAGAGCTGCATGTTCCTGCCGAAATAAATTAGCAGGTGAGCGCCAGCGGTGGGCAGAGCAGCCACCTCCCCCCCCCACCCGGCAGCGGGGTCACAGCCCCTCCTGGGTTACACCAGCGGCAGGTTGGCCTTGGGGGGACCTGCTTCTGGCCCCACCACCTTCCCGCCTCCTTGCTGCAGCCCGAGCTCAGTTGGGCTGGATCTGCTCATTTCCCCGGCTCACGGGACTCCAAGTGCTGGGGATTTCAAGGCAAAGCCAATGCTCCAGAGTAGGACAGTCGCATGCACCAGGAGGTGCTGATCCCACGACACAGCCCAGCCCGCAGCGGGGGTCCGGGACCTGCTTCTGGCCCCACCACCTTCCCGCCTCCTTGCTGCAGCCCGAGCTCAGTTGGGCTGGATCTGCTCATTTCCCCGGCTCACGGGACTCCAAGTGCTGGGGATTTCAAGGCAAAGCCAATGCTCCAGAGTAGGACAGTCGCATGCACCAGGAGGTGCTGATCCCACGACACAGCCCAGCCCGCAGCGGGGGTCCGGTCCACCCCATGGGTCAGGGGCTCCGCTGACCATGAGCACCCCCAGCCCTGGACACTGGCTACAAAGGATTCTGGGAAGCCGCCGGCGCCACAGAGGGTCCGATACCAGTGTGGGGGGGTTGAAACCAAGAGGCTTTATTGAAAGGCGAGTGCAAGGCAAGCGCTGCGGAGCCCGGAGGGAGCTCGTGCCCCCAGTGCAGGTCTGGGGCTGAGGACCAGGCAGGGCCTTGTCCTGCCCAGTCCTGGCTGTGAGGTAGGCAGCATCCAGGCTGCACTAGATCACTAGAGCAAGCCTGGGATTGGTCAATTCCCCCCACCGGGACCCCTAAAAAGGTCCCCTTGGCCAATCCATGACACCCCCCTCCCCCAGCATCAAAGCAGCCAATCGGGTGAAGCTACACAGTGCAGGGAGGAAGGGATTGGCTGGGGGAGGGGGGGTCTGGATTTCCTTCTGGTTTGTGAGCAGGCCCCAGATTGCTGAGGCCTCCAGGGATTGAGTGGATCACCCCAGATCCTGGCCGGATCCTGGCTCTGGTGCCTGGCGCCTGCTTTTAGCCCTGATCCCAGCACGGCAGGGCCTCGGCCTGGGGCCTCAGGGAGCGGGATGATCCAGGGGCTTGGCTCCCGCAGGCGGGCAAAGGTTGCGTCTCCTGGCAAGCTGCGGAGGGCGGGCGGGCAGGCAGGGCGGGGTCAGTCCGAGGAGCTGCTGGAGG